GGATTTCATCCAGGGAGATGAGCTTACGGTGGATCAGTCCGGCAGTCCGGTGGCCATGTACGCGGGGCGTGGCGGTCAATCCAGCGGAGGATCCGAACATGGTGGACGGCAGAACCACTCCAATCGTGGCCATGGACGAGGAGGTTGGCAGTCCGGTGGCCATGGGCGAGGCAGTCCTCGCTGCCAAATATGCAGAAGTCACGGTCATACGGCAGTCTTCTACAACAAACGCTACACCGAGCCACCGCCGCATGCCAACATGGCTGTTGCAGGTACACCACCGACGGACACTGCCCAGACCGAGGCATGGTTCCCCGACACAGGCGCAACCACTCACGCGTCGCCGGATGAGCAGATGATCGGGCACTCCGAGGCATATACGGGCGGTGATGTGTTGAAAGTAGGCAATGGCGCAGGTTTGAATATCTTCCGAGTTGGGCATACAGCTATCCCATCTAATTCCAAACAATTACATATGTTAAATATTTTTCCCGAATTTGTCTTTATCTCTCTTGTCTGTTTATCGTTTCACTAACGAAAACAACGTATTTTTTGAGTTTCATAAGGACTCGTTTTTTGTGAAGGATTGCACTACTCAGGAAACGCTCCTTAAAGGATCCGCCGTAAATGGGTTGTACAAATTGTTGGTGCCGCGTTCGCATTTTGCATTCTTAACCGCAAAGGCTTCGCCCGCTATTTGGCATCAACGTTTGGGTCATCCACACAAGCAACAACTCCACCGAGTCCTAAAACATTGTCCGGTCACGTCAAATAAAGCTCAAGTGTCACAAATCTGTTCCGCGTGTCAATACGGCAAATCAGCTAGATTTCCCTTAGATAGAGTATCTAGTTCAAGTTCAAATGCTTTAGATTTGTTGTATATGGATATCTGGGGTCCGTCTCCAGTTATTTCAGATTCGGGTTATCGCTATTTTATTTTATTTGTAGACGATTGTACTCATTATTGCTGGTTTTACCCCTTACGGTTAAAATCAGATATCTATAAAATATTTGATTTGTTTCGGGTGATGGTAGAACGGCGGTTTTCCCGTTCTATCAAAGCCATACAGTCTTATTTAGGGGGTGAGTACCGTCGCCTACACAAAATATTCGAGTCTTTAGGCATTACGCACAGACAATCGTGTGCCTATACTCATGAGCAAAACAGCTGTGTTGAACGCCGGAATAGACATATTGTCGAAACCGGCTTGGCCTTATTAGCCGAAAGCTCAACTCCGTTAAAATATTGGGATTATGCATTTGAAACTGCAACTCAATTAATTAATTGTTTGCCCTCCTCTGCCATATCCTATGAAACACCACACTACCGACTACATAAAACTCCCCCACCATACACTTTCTTCCGTGTCTTTGGGTGTAAATGCTACCCGTATCTAAGGCCGTACAATCGGCACAAAATTGAGTATCGATCCACATCATGTGTCTTCCTAGGTTACCCAGTTTCTTTTAGGGGATACCGCTGTATGGACTTAACTACGGGCAAGATATTTATCTGCCGTCATGTGCGTTTTGACGAATCAGTCTTCCCTTTTGCTGTGCAGACTCCTTTGCAGGTTGATTCAACTCCGGATCCCGCTCCCACTCCTTGGGGAGCTGGGCCCGTCATGATAAATCCGGTCACCTCCCCGGTTCTGGATGAACCACCTCTGGCCTAGCAACCGGCCCCTATGGCTCTAGAAGGGCCTCCTCAGACTGGTGCAAGACGGGGCCGCACTAAACGTGCACGCACTCAAGTTGAGGACCATGGCATGCGCACCAGGTGTAAAACTCGAGGTCAAAACGAGCAGTTCTATACTCTTAACACCACCGTGGACCCTACTTGCTACTCCCAGGCTGTGGGGCATCCGTAGTGGCGTGAGGCTATGGATCAAAAATTCAATGCCTTAATGCATAACAACACATGGCAACTCATCCCGGCATCTCCGAATATGAATATAATCGGTTGCAAATGGGTCTTTCGTACCAAACGCAAGGCCGATGGGACTGTGGAACGCTATAAGGCCCGACTAGTGGCAAAAGGCTTCAACCAGGTCGCCGGTGAAGACTTTTTTGACACCTTCAGCCCCGTAGTCAAGCCGACTACTGTTCGTATTTTATTTTCACTTGCAGTGTCACGCAAGTGGGTGTTACGACAGTTGGATGTTCACAACGCCTTCTTAAACGGCCACCTATCTGAAACCGTTTACATGAAGCAGCCACCTGGGTATGAGGACCCGTCTCACCCGGGGCATGTTTGTCACTTACAACTTTCTCTATATGGCTTGAAGCAGGCACCCCGGGCGTGGTTTAATCGCTTGCAGGAATTTCTGACATCTACTGGGTTTTTGGCATCCAAAATCGACGTCTCGCTTTTCTACTACACAGCAGGAAATTCACGTGTCTACTTGTTGGTCTACGTTGACGACATTATCATGATGGGTGACAACTCGGCTTTAATAGACACGTTACTTGGTCAGTTATCAACTGCTTTCAAAATCCGGGACCTTGGCACACCTCACTTCTTTCTAGGGATCGAGACGGCATCTGTCGGTGATGGCCTAGTCTTGTCTCAGCGTCGGTATATGCAGGACATCCTCACGAGGTCTGGAATGACGGACTGTAAGGCTCTAGCTACCCCAACAGCAGTGACCCAGCCGGCTACCCCCTCCTTAACTCCTTTTGAGAACCCGACCCAATATCGCAGGATTGTAGGAGCACTGCAATATCTCACTATCACCAGGCCCGATCTCTCCTACTCGGTGAACAGGTTGTGTCAGTTTATGCACTCTCCGACTGATGATCATTGGGCACTTCTCAAGCGAGTACTGCGGTATATCAAGGGGACTCAGGACTACGGACTTCGTCTATCGCGGTCTGCTTCCTCCGATCTACATGCTTATACTGACTCAGACTGGGCTGGATGTCCAGTCGACCGTAAGTCCACCAGTGGCTACGCTGTGTTTCTTGGGGATAATCTTGTTTCTTGGGTCTCTCGCAAGCAGCGTACTATTGGCAGGTCTTCCACAGAGGCAGAATACAAAGGACTAGCTGATGTCTCCGCTGAAGTGACGTGGGTAATCTCCTTACCCCGGGAACTAGGGTTGCACTCTGGCTCACCAGCCACACTTTGGTGCGACAATCTGGGGGCCACCTATCTTGCAGCGAATCCGGTTTTTCATGCCCGTACGAAGCATGTTGAGATCGATTACCACTTCGTCCGGGACAAGGTTGCATCAGGAGATTTTATTGTTAGCTTCGTCTCCACTAAAGACCAGCTAGCCGATATCTTCAGTAAACCACTTCCAGCTCCGCGTTTTCAGGCTCTGCGAGACAAGCTCAATGTTGTCCCCCTTCAACCTTGTGCTTGAGGGGGTGTGTTAGTAATAATATAGTATATGGTTTATTTATCGGTGGCTAGTATTATAATTGACTAGTCAATCCTATTGTACAGGAGCCTTTAGTGGTAGCTTTACTATAGGACTCTCTTGTGTAATCTCTTTCCTGATTGAATGTGAATTACGTTTGTTCATCGAAAGAATATATTTCAATAATAATATTTTACATCATCAAGTAGTAAAGGCATATTTTAAAAAATAGTAAAAGTAAATTAAAAATAGAACGAAAATATTTCATTAATAATATTCTACATCATCAAATTAAAATGTAACGGAAATTAGGTAAAAATATCAATACATCTATATTCTAATTGACTAATTGACTGAAAATAAAAAAAAAAAGGTTGACTAAAAATGAATCTAATATTGCTAATTGACTGAAAATATAAAAGGAAAAATGAATATTAATAATTGACGGCAAATAAAAAATGCTCCATAATTGACTAAAAAGAAAAAAAGAAATGGTCAGATCATTGCATTTTAATTAAAAATGAAATGAAAATTAAAAATTGGAGAAAAATATTTCAATAATAATATTCTACATTATAAATAGTAAATGCATATTTTAAACAATAGTAAAGGTAAATTAAAAATGAAACGGAAATATTGCAATAATAATATCTACATCATCAATTAAAAATGGAACAAAAATTAGGTAAAAATACCACTACATTTGATATTCTAATTGATTAATTGACTGAAAATAAAAAAGAATAATTGGCTGAAAATGAATCCGATATTACTAATTGACTGAAAATATAAAAGGATAACTAATTGAGTAATATTCTACCATTATATATTTTAATCCAAGTAATCCGTCTTGATGGATTGAAGGTATTAGCTCTAGACGAAGATGAACAAAATTGTGTTGTCACTACCAATGTCGTCTACAAAGAGGTTTCAATAGTGTGTAAATATAATCGGTGATATTAAGTTTTTTTTTTTTTAAATGAAAAAATTGTTATATATCTAGACAAAAAAATATATCTTCCATACAAATGAATAAGGATACTAATTCATTTCTATAACTGAGTTGTTAGAGAACAATCACATTTACCTAATTTATGAAAATTCTAAATAATGATAAATAAAATCTTCAAAGTTATAGCACCATATGCGTACATCTAGACATTAGCTATTAATTTGAGCAATTATTTGCACAAATTCAAGCAATGATAACATCAAAATATATAAACGATCAAAACCATATCTTTAATTGCACTATATAATATTTTATGTTCTAATTTAAATAATTATATATCGATTCATATATTCTTAATATATTACAACAAATTCATTCCGTGCATCGCACGGGTGCAAATACTAGTAATTATAAAATAATATACTTTCAGTACTCAAATAATGTACCTTCAAATAATGTACTTTATGTACACAAATAATATACTTTTAGTATATTAAAAATTTTACTTTTTACTTATGATTCACATAACTGTATGGACCATGGTGTATGTAATAATGTTTGACACCTAACGAATTATGTCTATAAGTGGTTTAGTACACTCTCAGATGTATCACATATTGAATAGAGGTGGAAGGGAGGATTCACTGAAATTTTATGTGATTGAATAACATAGGTCAACGATAAAAAGAAGAAATTAAGGCAAATCTATACTGAATTTCTTTACCTTGGTACACAATTCAAATACAGTTATCCCCGTTGTACTAGCACTAGTTTCACATTGTACAACACAGTGAATTATCGATTATATGCTACAGTTATCAACTTCAGATTGCACCTACCGGCACATGATGTTATTAGAGAGAATATCTGTTGCCGTTGCCATTGCCCTCATCTGATTTATCAACTCTTAGACCGTGGAACGAATATGAATCATGAGCAAGAGACTGCAACATCATTAATTGGATTAGAAATATCCATTGTTAATCAGGGCTTTGATGCATTTCTTAAGGGGTACATCTCCCCAAGAGCAAAGTAAACTAAAATGATGTACACAGTTATTAAAATGGCTTGAAAAAACAAAAACAAAAAAAAAAAAAAAACAAAACAAAACAAAACAAAACAAAACAAAAAAAACAAAAAAAGAAACAAAACAAAAAAAAAAAGAAAATACAAAAAAAAAAAAAACCATCATTTGTTGTGACTGTAAGCAATTTTGTTATCTATAATGAATTTCGATTAATGATTTGCAATTTTAGCCAATTCCAATTTCTGGATTCCACCCCCAATAAAACCCCAAGTTATATTATGAGATTTCTTATTGATTATGAGGTAGTCATCAGGTGTTGTAATTGTTCTTAATGTGCTTTCCCAGTGCAAAATAGATAAGGGGGTGTTTGGTAAATAAATGTTTGTTGATAGCCATTAGTTGATTGGGTTAGTGAGTGTAACTAGTTGATAGCATTAGCTGATTGGAGAAAAGTGTTTGGTAAATTAGTTGTTAGTTAATAGCTAATTACATACAAAATGATTTTCTCAAAAGGCTAATTGAAAAAGTTGTTTTGAGTAGCTTTTTGAATTTTAGCATTTTGGAGGCAATAAGTTGTTACATAAAGCTAATTAATCAAATACTCATATTGGTTGTTTAACCAAGTCAAAGAACTAATAGTGATCAAATAAGCTAAAATTGACTGATAAGCTAACTATGTTACCAAACAAGCCAAGATAGCATTGAAGATATTATTTTGCAATATAAAATCTGGAGATTAGAAATTTATGACGGTGGTTGTGAAGGTTTGAGTTGGGATTAGGCTTGGGGATTTGGTAGTAGTGGTTGTTAGTAGAGAGGTGTTGAAGATTTTTATTTTCTTGGGATATAAACAATCTTAAAAAATATAAGGGTAAAAATAGGATTAAGTCAATATTGATAGCAATTGATGACCGGCAAAAAGACTCAAAAGTTCATATAAATTGCAAAATTAAAAGCTTTAGTTCTAATTGCATCTAGTCACAAAGAGTGACTCTCCTGTGATCCAATAAAATCGTCTCACGGATCTTTATTTGTGCGACCGCTTCACGAAGACGTGTTGGGTCAAAATGAAAATATAATACTTATATTGAAAAATATAATACTAATCAAGAATAAAGTATAACGGAAAATGTAATACTTTTTTAGGACACTTTCTCTTATAAGTAAGAAACACTTTATTCCTTATTACATATTTCAGTATAAGTATTACATTTTCATATTGACCCGACCTATTTCACATACAAGGAAGACGGTCTCACACAAGTTTTTACATTGCCTTTATGATGATGATAATGATGATAATGATGATGATGATGATTATTATTATTATTATTCACTTAATAAACCAAGAGCAAATACCAATTTTGGTGCCACGAATATTAACAAAATGACATTTTTAGTCCACATGTTTAATTCCTACTAATTTTCATCTACGACTATTGTTTTAGTACCCATTTTCATCGAACGACTATTGCTTTAGTGCCAAATTCATCACACCAATCACCCCTCTGTTTTAGATATGCGAAATATGAAATTATTAAAGGTATTTTTGTCTTTTTGAGCATGAATAAAGAAATTTATGCCCTAAGATCGATCTCAATTCACAGTTCTCTTCCTCAATTAAGGTAAGATAAGGAAAAATACGAATTTGGATCGATCTTAGGGCTTAAATCTCATTATTCATGGTCAAATTGGGATCTTAAGTTGAAAAGGACAAAAATACCCTTAAAAATTTTAGATTTCGACATGTCTTAAACGAATGAGTGACCGGCGTGATGAATTTTGGCACTAAAACAATAGTCGTGGATGAAAATTGGTACTAAAACAATAGTCGCGGATGAAAATTGGTAGAAATTAAACATGTAGACCAAAACTGTCATTTTGCTAATACTCGTAGGACCAAAATTGGTATTTGCTCATAAACCAATCTTAAGCACTTCCACCACATGTTATGATGGAAACAGAAATCAGTAATGGCATTATAAAGGCTAACAGAAACTCACAAAATATTTTAAGAAAATTGAAAGCTTCAAATACCTGTTCTTGAGCATGGAAATACATGAAAGGTGTATATTGGAGAAAATTTGAAACCCTTGATGTATAAATATCAGCATACCTGCAATTCCAAAAGAACAAAGCTCAGGAAGGTTTAAACAGTACACATTTGCAAATCTCTAGAGATGTTAAGAGCCAATTCACATACTTCTCAATTTGCCGCATTAAGTGGCTTTTGTCCCAAAGGCCTGCCCGTGAAATGAAACCCCACCTAAAAAAACATACCAATATCGATCAACCATCAATCCTAGTTCACAAGCTTACAGATTAAACAATTAAATAGCTTGAGAAGGTCAAGACTGCTTTTAGCAAGTTGAGCTTAAATACAGATAGTAAACTGATAGGAAAACGAACTGTTCTAACAAAATATAAATAAAAATTCCAAGAAACAGGTTCTTTAAACCTTCTGTTAAAATGCTCTCCATCTGCTTCTAACATCAGAGCAATCTTCTCATCCAGTCTTTGCATAACAATAAGTAGCTTCTGAATGCTTTCAGTGAGTTCTTTATCATCCATATTGGTAGCAGCAAGAGTCTGATGCATCACAGGGCACAATGTGAATACTTACAATTAAAACTACAAAGGAGCTTCAGACTTTCAGAGCAGTAAGTATCATTAGATAATCAGTTGCCTGGCAATTGACTAGAGCTCATAAATAAATACTACATTAGAGCAAACCTCAACAGTTGCAGTTTTTACTCTAGTTTTTGTAGGCCCTAGCATCGATCTCAGCATCCACTATCTTACTCAATCTAAAAAACCATTCTCCCCAACAGTTTTAGTTTTTTTTACAAGTTTTTTTGCAAATCCACCATTTTACACCAACTATATTTTAATTATTTCTTTATTTATTATCATTAGAAAAATTATATTATACCTATAATTATTACTGTTATTTATATTTAAATTAAACATGTTGAAATTTAAGTTAATTGATAATTATAAATTTAATAACAAAATTTAAAAAAAAAAAAAAAAAAAGTTGACAGTTGCATAGTATAAATTTTAAAAAACTAAATAAAAAATAAATACAGAAGTTGGCAGTTTCATAGCATAAATTTTAAAAAATTTAATAACAAAATTATATAAAAATGTTTAAAAACAAAGAAGCTGCTGGCCAGTTTTTTTTTTTTAAAGAAAAATAAAAGATAACAACAATAGTTCAGAGTGGCCGCCAGCTGATGACCACTCTGAAGCGCCCCAACGGGCGCGGTGTTTCTCTATTTTTATTTTTATTTTTATTTTTTTTCTTTCTTTTGACAAAAACCATATCTTGCAGGAGTAAAATTTTTGCAAAAACCATCTTCTAAGAACCATCTCCTCAGTTTTTTTGTTCTGCAAAAACCCCTAATGGGGTTGCTCTTAAAGCAATATTTCCTCATAAAGTAACACTCTGCATTCCTGCATTTGAACTGAGGACGAATATCATATGGTTATCTTATAGTGAACATATTTTGAGCTGGTAAAATTACTTGTGCAGGTCGCTCCATTGTTCTCCTCTGCAGAGCAAGCCGAAGTTGGTTAAAGAGACCTCCTACAACCTCCTTCTGACTAATTAGCTCCATCAGCAATGCTCGATGACCTTGACTACGAATCAATGCATTATACTGCAATACAAAATTTACAGGCCATTCAAAAGAGCCCTTGTGAAAATTAAAAAATAAGAAACGTTTGATATCCATAGAACAAGACAGGAGCCCAAAAACATCCAGCAAATGCCCTCTCTAGTCTCTAGAAATATAAGAGAAAATAGTCACCTAATCAACTACTAGAAAACATTATGATCAAGAAATTGTCATAAGCTAACCTCTTCTTCAAGTTCTCTGCAAATCAATGCTGTCCTCCATCGCAGATTGACTTTGGATTGGCTAACATCTGTATATATATGATCACCAACATACAATATTTCATCTCCATGAATGCCGAGTGAATTTTCAACCATCTGAGCACTTCCTCCAGAGTATAAGCCACCTATTTGAAAATGAGATCGATATATAAAAGAAGTTTCTAGTAACTTCTTTGGTAAAATATAGGTAAGTAAAAAGGGGTCCAAAACTGGGCTGCCTAGATTTAGTGGTCTCAAAGTATACCTACATAAAAAAAAGCCAATTCAGGCCACTACCCATATTTTACCCAGCTCATCCATTTACCACCCCACCCTTTAGGCATTTACTTCAGGAGTATTGATTTGCAGAACACAAGGACACAGAACAAATTATACCACCCACCTGGGTGAGCCTTAAAACATGGACGCATTAGACCTTCACTAGTCACGACTTCATACATAGGGTGTGACATTTGGAAGAATTCTGGTTTCCTGGCTGAGACTATAACCTGTAAAGAATAAATGTATTACACAAAGAAAATTCACACTAGTGGAAAATGCTTTGCACTTTCAGGACAGTTGAACCTTGAAGTCTTTGTTTCATAGTAAGACAAGAATCAAGGAAAGACATTTCTGGATTAGGCAAGAAATTAACCACTTTGACAACTGTTGTCTTGTGTGCAAATACCTTATAGTCATTTTCACAATGAGACAGGAAGAAAGAATCCATAAGATAGAAGTTCAGCTTGCAGCTGCAAAATCATATTATGATAGTATGAATGCTCACCATGTCAAATAGATCTCGCCAACTCATATCATTCGGAAGGAATCGGTTAAAGGAATGTTGCATCATTTTGTTCGTATAATGATAATCTGAATTGGTAATGAGCAAGAGTCTCTTGCCAGCCTACCATAAAACAAATTATGCAATTATAGATTAGTTGTTGAGATGATTCTAAAATGTTAAAACTTAAAAGGAAATATATTAATTAAAATTAAATTATTAATAAAGAATACCTCCATCTGATCCAACAGCGCCAAGGGTAGCTCAGGATCAGGCTCAACAAATAGTTCAGGTTTAGACATTATCTCAGTCTGGGTAGCTGACATAGATTAGTTTATAATGTTGAGCACAGCAAAGGAATACCTGTAAATAAAACATTTACCTTCAGTTGTCCTTCCACATGTGCAGCGAAGAGTGCCTTACCAACAGCCTGTCAGCAATGCCAAGTGTCAAAAAATTAACAGAAACATTACATAATTGTTCTACACAAGCACTCTACATCAAACCTTGTAAAGCCCTTTATAATCAAGTGGGCCAAGCTCTGCTGCTATGATTCCTTCATCTAATCTATCTACCATCTGAAAATGTATAAAATATAACTCAACTGCAATGAACAATTAGATGATGTTACACAACAACAACAACAACAACAACAAACAAACAAACAAACAAACAAACAAACAAACAAACAAACACAAAAACAACAATAAATAATTAGATACTGCTAAGCAGAAAGCAATCAAAGCATATAAAATAAAATTTAAATAAAAGGTGTGATAATTGTCTAAAAAACCTAGATTCAGTAGCAAAAGCCAAAAGGTAATGCCATTTGAGACCAAGCATAAGCAGAATGGATTGTGTTTTACAAGAGAGGAGTGCCATAAATAACAGTGTCTTGGTAGATAGCAGCAAACTACTTTCAAAAAATTTACTAGATGCTTCCCTAGCCTGAAGCTGGAAGGAACTCATTTGATTTGAAAGAATCTTTGTTGATAGGAAACTCATCATTTAATGTTATTAGCAGTAAACATTGCAAAATGATTCTGATTTTCTGTTTTTGTATCCTGTTATTAGCCTCAGTAGGTTAGAACTAATTTCCTCAATCTTTTCATTGTTACATTTACCTCCTAGAACCAAGGTAACCTTAGCCTATATTTTTGTAATTCAATAATCTAAGAAAATAACAAGGAAGATTCATTCATAAAGCTTCCTTGTTCATTATATTAGAGCCAGCAATGGCAGAAATTGATTTCACTAAAGAAACCACTGAAGCCACCTCGTTTGCCAACCAACAGGTTGCAAACATACCTGTGACACATCCTTCAATTTATGCCACATTCAAAAACCATTCCCTTCAAATCACCCAACATAAACTCAATGGAACTAAATTCAGGCATTGGTTCCAATCTGTCTTCCTTGATCATAAAGGTAAAGGGAAAATTGGGTATGCTGTTGGTACTATTCCCATGCCCCTTGCAACTACCATCAATTCAGCACACAGGACGCTGAAAATTTGATTGTCATGTACTCATTGCATGGTTAATTAATTCCACAGAGCCCAAAATTAGGTGAATTTACCTGTTGTATAAGACTGCCAAAGGTATCAGAAACTCAAAAGTCAAATCATTAATTTTATTTCATGTTAGCTCACTTTTAGTTTCACTTCCTTCTTGACTTATTCACACTTTTCCCCCTTACAATAACCAAAGAGAGTTTCAGAAAGATGGGCAAGAGCTAAAGCTATACGGGAAAATAAAGAACAGAAGGAAATGAATATATAGAATTACAAGAGCATGTACTTAGGAAGTGATATACCTGCATATAAGCTACAGCTTCTGAAACAGAGAATAGTGTATTGAGGAACAACCATCGACTCTCCTTCCGCAAATCCACCAGCTCTCTCCCATATATCTCACTTCCATTGAACACAAAGATAAAGAGTCACATTAAACCGATTTGTCATTAAGTACATGTCCAGATGTTGAATACTTATGCATAAAGTACCATATCAAAGAATTTAATTTGAACATAAATATATAACTGTTATTCCATGGCTCCTCAGAGGTTCAGTAATGCTAAAATTAATTGAATAGCTCATGAGCAATGGCAGATCTTACAAGTTAAAAAGATTGTATAAATATAAGCCATATATTAAATTTAAGATGGCAAAGGACTCAGTTAATTCTTATTCCTCAAAGTGAACAATCAAAAGTATTCATTCTTACCTCACTTCTCGAGTAGATAACATACTTGTTCCATGCATAGCTCTCTTAACATATCCAAAACGGTCTGCTTTAACCAGATTACCTTTCTCTTTATCAATAACAAGCCCTCTAATGACCTACATAACCATGTTGCATTGTCTTCTCTGCATCTGTGAGTACATATATAACAATATGTATGCAAATGTAAGGGGAATGCTCTACCATACCAATTCAGGGTCAAAAGCAAGCCCATCCACAGGAAAGCCCATATTTTTCAAATTGTCCATACAATAATCATAAGCCCTTCCCTCCCAAGCCTATAAGTTTAGAAGTCAAAGCATTCCCATCATTTAACTGGGGAGAAAGATTAGCCAATGAAGATTTCAGATATAAGAATAAAGAAATACTATTTACCATAACATTATAGTGTATAAGAGTATAGTCCATATCATATCCAATCGCACTGATTGACCGCAGATTCAATGTGCGACTGCAAAATATGCCACGGGGTGAATGTCTTGTGGAAAATGGACCCTGCAGTTTGTTTCCAAATCAAAGAACTAAACAACATAGCACATTTAAACATAGAAATACTAGAACCTATGAGAAAAATAAGGGCTAATGAACATGGGATAACACATCATGTGATCACACATGGATTTCATCATTCAAGAGTGATGATAACTCAAGACCATTAACTTCTATAACTAGTCACTTATAGGTGCAGTGATTAATAGCTATATAGAAGGTGACATATCTAATGGACAACCTTCATATTTATACTTCTGCAGACAATGCAAATAGTTGCAAAAAAGTCAGTAGTTGCCACTAGGATATAACTGGGATTTTTTCTGTTTCATATAGGGGTTTTTGCCTTTTTGGAATACCAACCAAAATGAATATAAAAGGAATCGATAATAGCGTAATGCTTGCAATCATCTAAGACCCACCCATGAGACACGTTACTTTTACTTGGTGGAAGCTACTCAAGCTAGCTTAGTTTAAGACCAAGATTTAGACATTTGGCATCACCTTTTCAACCAAAATATCCACTCTTAGACATAGAAAGTGAGTTTGTTATTATTAGCAACATCTATCCCCTATACGGCTATACATGAAAAAAAAAGAGTGGAATGCATCAAACACTGGTTTTTTGGCTCCTTTTTACTAACCAAATACACTCAACCTTCTCATGAGAGGAAGATATTCATCAAAGGGATGACTCTTGTAGCTGCAGAAATTTTAGTCTTGCAGCATTCTAGTAAAAAAGATAAATCCTAGGTAATGTTGACAAAAACAAAAAAAAACAAAAAACAAAAAACAAAAAATAATAATAAAAGAAAAACCTCTGCTGATTTCTTTGCAGAAATTATTAATGTGGTTGCACAAAAGCATAACAACTTATGGATGAAATGTATTTTTGGCACTGTTAGTGTGCTGAAACTTCAGTACTGTATTAAGATATTGCTTAATAGAAGGAAAAAGGAAAATATGTTTAAATTTGCACAACAACATTATCAAAATTGATAGCTAAGATTAAAAATTCACATGTACAAGTCTAATAGCATGCGCATTAATTACCAATAAACAAATAACAGTAATATTCAAAACACAGTGGAGACTTTTACATGTTTGCTCACTTGGCTTGACACTTCTCTTGCTCATGTTTATCAACAATCAAAAATTCAGTTGCAGATAGTTTAGCTACTTTAGCAACTTCTTTACAGTTTCCTATGTATTTCAATTCTTTGAATGACTTGCCTAGTGACACTATAAATATATATATATATATATATATATATATATATATATATATTAAATTTCAGATAAGGGCCAAATTCCCTATATCAACCCTAAACCCACATTGGTGTTTCACTGTTTCTTGATTAAAAAAAAAAGTTAGAAACAGACAAACAGTAATATTCTTTAAAAAGGAGAAAAAGAACAAAAACCGGTATAGAGTGCAACAATTAAAGTAAAAACGCACAAAAATACAAACGTATAAGCAGAGAGTACCCCAATGCCAAGCTGTTGCAGCAAGTGCTCAGCTTCCTGAGTTTCTGCCTTGGCAACTTCCTGAATGGGGCCTTCCAATGTTGCCTGGCCATTGAGTCCTACACCATCATTCAAAAATAACAACAATTTAACTGATAGAGATAGTGGAACAAGACAACCAGTCAAGAGTAACGTTATGTTTGGATGGGCAGGAAGTGGAGGGGGGAAAGAAAATATAAAGTGAAAAAAAAAAAATGAAGAATAAAAGTTTTATTCAGGTGAAAGAAAAGAAAATAGAAAATATTGCATCTGCAATGAGTATGGTTAGCCGATTCATGGACCGACCTTGAGTACCATGTTGGCAAGAGGTACTTTAAATTCTACGGAATTTGAATAAAGCAAATAGTGCAGGGATATGGTACCATGCTCACATGTAAGAGTAGAAGATTATTCCAAATTTCCAATGCTACCATAGGTAACTTTGTATTTGTTGGTGGCAACTTGGTTTTGTGGAACAGTAAGATGCAGGTTGTTGTGTCCAAATAAAGTGCAGAGTCAGAATATGGAATGATACCTCAAGTAACAAGTGAATTGAGGTGGACTAAGTAAATTATGGAAGATTTGGAGTTTAAGTGATAATATGCCTATGAGACCAACAGTGTGATAATCAATGTGCCATGAATATTGCCTCAAATAAAAATTTCATGCAGGGATATGACAAGGTTGATTGTCATTTTGTTAGAGAAAAGTTGGAACAAGGATTGCTTTTTCCATCCCATGTAGAATTGGATCAAGCTGCAAATATTTTTACTAAAACTCTTCATGGTCTTAAAGCTGCAAAGTTAGGCTTGATTAATATCAATATTCCAACTTGAAAGGGAGTGTTAAGAGATGTGTCTCCCATATTAGATAAATATGATAAGTGTTAGGGAGCCTACTTATAAATAGGAGTAAAATGTAATACCTACACACACAATATTTTATTCTTCCCCTTCATATTTACTTTAATTATACATTACCCTGCCACACCACCCCCTTTCACTCCACAGTATCACATCCCACATTTTTAACCCTACCTCGCATATAACCATCACCCAAATTCACCCCACTCACTTTGTCGATTGTTATATTGCATACATGGGAGTGCAAAACAATATACACCGTAGAAGTACACTTATATCAAAATGGTTATCCAACACACCTCCCTTCTCTACCTTGATTTGGTCTTACTCAACAACCTCAACTCCATCCATGCATCTAATTACATTATAAATGAAATACGAAATTAAACATGTTTATGTGTTTTCCTCCCTCCCCTCCTTCTCTGTATACATAGGGAAGAAAGACACTACAAAACACATAAAGAACACTAATAGAACCAGCCAGTATCAATGTACACAAGTCTCGTGGGTCCTGAAAGATGTGTAAACCCACCAAGAGACAGGTGACTTCAATCGGCACAATTCCATGTTTATGTCTTTAATTTTTCTTTTAATAGAACATACACTTGTCAAAACAAAGCACCTAAATTCTTCGCAACTTCTTTCCGCATTTTCCACCCATCGAAACACACTATTAACCTCATATCTTTGATGTCAAAAGGGGAGAGGGAGAAGTATTTGCTCGACAGTGGTGAGGGATTAAAGTAGTATTTGATTGATAGTTCATACCGGAATTGAGGTTCAAGTCGCCTTTAGTGCTTTGACCAAGGTAGTCCACTTCGGATCTGTTAGAAGAAGTGATGACTGAGAACACATCCCCTTCAGCTTCGGAGGAGAGTGAAGTGGCATTGCAGCGACATAACAACCTATTAGTACTATTATTGTGACTGAGACTTGGATGGGGGGTAAAGACAAGCGGTTGATAGCAAGGCCGAAGATTTGATTTTGGGACAACCATCATCGACACCACTGGTCCTACTCCCGTTCCTACCGGTAACAGGCCGGCTGCCATACTCCTCATTTATCTCTTTTTCTTGCTTTAATTTCTCGTCTCAGGCATTTATGTTTATATACTGCTTTACAACAAATCAAAAATAAAACATATTACCTAACATGTCAACATGAAAACTAGCCCAATACTTCACATGAAAACCAATTAATAACCACAAATCCATAAAGTCCAAAACATAAAAATCTTACAACACAAGTTCAATACCATGTCTAGAATCAAAACCAACCAATACATCATAAAAATGTCTAAAATGACACCAAGTCACCCAGATCAATCAAGGTTTTAACATAACCTCCTCCTATTCAATAGCGACTTCCTGTTCAGCAACAGCCAACAGAGTTGTTACTTTCTATTGGTTAACTTGAAGAGATTGATGGAGTTGCAGCATGTTCATTAACTTCTTGTTCATGAACAGATTCAATTGTATTGTTACTTGTCAGCCTATATAATATCAAAAATTGAAGTCTAATACAAATGAATACAAACAACATATAAACAATATATATATATATATATATATATATATATATATATATATATATATATATATATATATTGTTTATATGTTGTTTGTATTCATTTGTATTAGACTTCAATTTTTGATATTATATAGGCTGACAAGTAATATATATATATATATATAAAAAACTGACAATTAACTCAGGTGTTGAATAAATGGCATAACTTCTCCCGTAAGAGAATACTTATTTTCCAATTTCCAGCAATCTTAATATTTCATAATATTTTCCTCTAAACATTCCAAGAGCTTTATAGTCACAAGCGACTAAGAAAACTACGCAATCAAGAGCTGGAGTTTCACTAAGCTCTAGCAGTCATATATAAAAAAGTCAAACACCTAACATATGATCTATAAAGTTTAGAACAACATTTTCTCAATCCTAAACTACATACTAGTACCATTTAAAACATATCAGACTTGATCTTTGGTCCCATATTCTCATTCCAAAATCTTCACTTTCCTTTGAGTTTACAATTACTAATGATATTGAGAGACAAAAACAAATGACAACAAACCAACACAAACAAATATCGTATAGCAGATTAACAAAATTGCATGACAGCATTAAATTCATCTAAACATAATGAACACAGCAAAATTGAAATACAAATAGGCATATACTGAAATCACACCGCCGGAGGCCGCAGGTCGCGAGTCCTAATATGCAAAATACAGTAGAAGAACTACTGACTACACGCTCAGAGAAGAAAGTAGAAGAGTAGAAGACCTACCTCAGCTGAGCCGTCCCCAGTCCACAGCCGGTCTGGCTCACGTAGTCACTCCACGGCTCCACCGCTGTCCGCTGTTCCGCAAGTTGTCCGGGTCGGGATAGAGGAAAACATGAAAATGAAATTAGGAATTATGACTTTGATTTGGAAATTAGGGTTTCAAAATAATTCTCATTTTATCACATTTAATCTGTCATACTTATTAGTCAAACTAACTCTTTTTCCTTTGTTTTTATTTTCGTAAAATTTTAAAATTTAATTTTTTTATATTCAATAATACTTTGAATGTAATTTCTAAATATATAAATCTTATATACTAATTTTAAAGAATATTATAAAAATTTAAATTGTAAATAACTTCCATCTTTAACCAAATCAGACACATAAAATGGGACGAAATAATAATAATAATAATAATAATAATAATAATAATAATAATAATAATAATAATAATAATAATAATAATATTATTATTATTATTATTATTATTATTATTATTATTATTATTATTATTGTTAATGACACAATTTCATTATGAGAACTAGAGCTGTCAATACTGGCTGACGGAACGAGGTGAGTTACCCGGCAGGCCAAAAAAACTCGCTCCTTGGCGGGTATGGGTTTACAGGGCCGCCCCCCGCCCCAGGCCTACGGGCTAGGCGGGACCCAGCACTTTTTTTTTTTTTTTTGTTCTTAAACTTTAAGGTGTTAGTTTGATACTTTGTTAAGTTTTACCATTTGTATATTCTAAACTAGTTCTTTTACGCGCTCTGCGCGAATGAAATAATGCCCAGTAATTATTTTTAAGTAAGTATTTCAAAGTATATCAATGCAATATTATATTGGAGATGTTCATGCATAGGTAAATAAATATTGAATTTCTTTTTTTAAATCGGTAATTTAAAGTATATAAATGCAAGATAATATATGAGATATTGATTTTATTGTCACTAAAATAAATATTTGCAACTTTGTAATAGCGATAGTCTAAATACTTAGTTTAAAAACGATAGCTAAATAAATACTACTTTTGGTTTAAATTTCTCTAATTCTTCTTAATTCTCTTTTGGGTGGGTAGCATTGTCATTGTCTTCATCTTCAGTATATGTCCTCTCTTTTTTTTTATTGATAGTGTGTCATATGCAATTGGGTTACTGGTGGTAGCATATAGATGGATTCATCGTGCAATGAGATTATGGTGTAGGAAGCTTTAGATTTGCCTTGTTGTGTATATGATGAGATCTTAGTTTTACTATTAACTTTTTATCTTACAAGCACATATTGATATTTGGTAGTGGTAGATTTTTTTTCCTCTACATATTTCATGCGTTGTGAGATGTGAGTCTTAGGTTATCATCTGAAAGTATTGAACAAAATATTAATATTTATTATATTTGTATAAAATACTTGGTAAATAAATATATATAACATATTTTGTATACTTTGATATATATATATATATATATATATATATATATATATATATATATATATATATATTTTTTTTTTTTTTGAAAACCAACCAAAAACATTTTATTAAATCATCAAAGCAATACATGGAGGTATAGAAGAAATCCAACAAATAGGATCAGTTTGCAAACGAGCCGCCCTAGCCAAGGCATGAGCTAAGTTAATTACTGATCTAGAAACATACCGAATAGACACCACTTCAAAGTGTCGTTTTAACTCTCGACATTCACGAAGAACACACCCTGCGAATGAGAAATCAGGTAAAGAACCATTCAACAAGTTGCACACCACCTGGCAAGCAAACTTAACCACCACCCTGTGAAGATCTCTATCCTTAGCCCACGACAGAGCCTCTTTAACCGCCATTGCTTTAGCCAGATGAGCATCATTCAAACAACGGAGAGGACCACTCTTAGCTGCAACATATGAGCCACTATTATCCAAAATTACCACCCCAAAGCTTGCATCCCCCGTGTCTGCAAATAATGCTGCATCAACAAAGATATGATAGGATGGCTCTAGTGACGCCATGGCAAATTCCACCCTTTCACCATGTGTTTCACGTCCTGACTCAACCACCATGCTTTCCTGCCAAAGGTTTAACAAATGAGCCACCTCCTGCTTAATCTTTGACACTTGCCAAGGAACTTGGTTCCAAACAACATTATTTCTCCCTGTCCATATAACCCAACAGATGGCAGCGTATTTAAGCTTTGTTGCATTCGAAGAATTCGCTAATCCAGTAGTCAGCCAAGAAACAAAATCTTCATCAGCTAGAGGAAGCACACAATCTGCATGATCTATCCAAAGAGGGATGATGAACACACACTCACAGAACAGATAACGCATGGACTCATGTTGTTGATGACAAATAGGACAAGAGTTCTCAACTTCCACATGCCTACTGGCCAACGCAGATAAAGTAGGGAGCACACCATCAACAAGAAATTTTTAATATTAGGTGGAACTTTCAATTTCCACATCTGCTTCCAGAATACAGAAGTTGGCAGATTATTGTTATGCAGCTCCGAGAGAAGACGATACCCGTTTCGTACAGAATATAATCCTCTAACATCACCTTTCCAACACCATTGGTCTTCAAACAGAATAGAGACTAGGATTTTCAATATGAGGTTCACATCACGGGGTTCCAATAAGGGGTTCAACGTTGCTAAATCCCAATCCTGAGTTACATGACTTATCAACGAACTAACCTTTAAGCCTGCACTATCACCCAGTACGAGAGAATTGACAAATGGATTGTCATCATCTGGAAGCCAAGGATGGTTCCATACACTTGTAGTACAACCATTCCCAATCCTCCGAATACATCCACGCCTAAGAACCTCCTGACCTGCCAGTATTGATTGCCAGCAGTAGGAAGGATTTGTTCCAATTGTAGCACTTAAGAACTCACCTTGCAGATAGTATCGGGATTTCATCAACATAGCAGCTAGAGATGTTGGATTCGTGAGTAACCTCCATCCTTGTTTGGCAAGAAGAGCAACATTGAAACGTGTTAGACACTTAAAGCCTAATCCTCCGTTCATCTTTGGCTCACATAGTCGAGACCAGGACATCCATCTTATCCCACCTCCACGCCTACCATTAGAAGACCACCAATACTTATTCATTATTCTCTCAATGCGTTCACAGAAACTCATGGGGAGGTAGTATACACTCATGGTGTATGTAGGGAGAGCTTGCGCAACACTCTTCAACAAGATCTCCTTTCCAGCTCGTGACAAGAACTTCTTGTTCCAGCCACTTAGTCTGCCATTAAGCTTCGTTTCAATAAAGGAGAACACTTCACGTTTGTTGCGCCCAATGCCCATTGGCAACCCCAAATACTTACCAATGTTATTTGCTTGGCTCACATTGAAAATCGATGCCACAGAATCCATCACCTCAGCATTTGTGTTTCTACTATAAACAATATAATGCAAGACTTTGTAAAATTGACAGACTGACCGGACACCCTTTCGTAAGCTACTAGGCATGCCTTAACTGCTTCTGCTTCCGCTTCCAAAGTTGTAGCTTTAAAAAATAGCATGTTGTCGTCAGCAAAGAAAAAATGCGAAACCCCGGGCGCACCCCTAGCAACCACACATGGCGATATAGCTTTATTAAGAACCGATCTATTCAGAAGGTGGGATAGCCCCTTAGCACACAATATGAAAAGATATGGAGACAAGGAAGGTATGATATAATCAGTGAGTTCACCATTAACCCCAACCTTGTACCGTACCGTAGTCACACACTTCATAATAAGAGAAATCCACCGTTGTTCAAATCCCATTCGACTCATAATTTTCTTCAAAAACGGCCATTCCATTTTGTCATACGCTTTAGTCATGTCCAACTTAAGCGCACACCAACCGTCTCTTCCATCCCGTTTCCTATTAAGATAGTGCAACACTTCAGAGGCAATTAGCACGTTATCTGTGATTAAACGACCCGGCAAGAAGGCACTTTGTGACACCGATACAACCTTATCAAGAACAGTCTTCATTCGGTTAGCCAACATCTTAGACAAAATTTTGTAAACAACATTACTGATGTGCACTTAATTGTGCACATTTTTACTATTGATTTATCTATAATTGTTAGGCTTAGGGTCATGATTGTGATAATTTAATTGCATAATCCTTTATTTTATTTTTTTTTTTTTTTTGAAAATCCTTTATTTTATTATTTAGTTGTGGTTCACACTCATTTTGAATATTTTACGGTGTTTGTTAATGTTTTGGAATTATTGTAGATCAAGTTCGGAGTCAAAACGAGATGACGGGTCCAGTCCAGAGGACTCGACGCGTCAAGAACATGCAGCGCATTCCCGGATTTTCCACCGTGAAACTCGACGCGTCGAGTTTAGACCGTAGCTAATTATTGTCGAAGTCGAGTGGCACGATAAATAAAAGGTGCGGTGCTCAATTATGGAAGTCGTTAGGCGCTGATCAAAAGGGAAATTTCAAATCAAAAGGGGTGCACAATTTCCAAAGTGAAAGCTAAGGTGGCGTTTAATTCCAAAATCACAAGGACGGCATTTATATAAATAAAAAATAATTAAATTTCAATTTCGATCCAGATACAATTTCAGTCCAATTTTACACAGAATTCCTATTTTAATCAAGATTGGTTCTGGACTTCTAGTTATAAAATCTCATCTTCCTCAACCCTAATGAAAAGGGAATCCATAATTCAGAATTCAGAGATCTTTGGAGACAAGAAAGAGAGAAATCAAGAGCCACAAGTTGTCTTGGGAAGCAAGAAGAAGACTAGGGAGATTCGAGAGAATCGTCTGGTTCATTCTTGTACTCTTTTGATAATTTGTATTTTCTTTATTAATATTTGCTATGTATAATTTACCCATGTTTGGCTAAATTCTTTAGAGATTCTTGGGTAAAAGTGTTTATGAACCTATGTGCCTAAGCTCTTAGATTCTTTAATATATTATTATTTGGGTTTAATGCTTGTGTTGCAATTGTGATTTTATTGTTTGATGCTTGTAATTAGTGGCCACAATTACTTGTTTCGTTTGCTATCTTTGTGTCACAATGAGAGTTGGACATAATTTAGGGCACACACAATTGCACCTAACTGTTGCACATTGAGAAATTGTAATTTTGTTAGGGAGTTTAATTCTTGATTATTGCGCATCGAGAGATGGTAGTAGTTAGAAATTTATGATGCTTGATCTTGTTTTATTAGGTGTGTAAGCCGGAGTGGAAATTCACTAGTGTTAGTGACTACGAGAGTAGCTCTATACCACCTTGCATCCTCACACTTGTTAAACCCAGATTTTAATATTGTCCTTAAGATTTGGCACTAGGTGATTAAATACTTGAATCCCAAGAAGCTCATCTCCTCTCTAATTGTTTTCAAAATCCTGAATCTCTGTTTTATTTATTTTATGCAAATCAATCATCTAAACAATTGTTAGGATTAATTAACTCTAATGAATAAATTAGTAACTAGTGCTTGATACAACTACTTCCCTGTGGATCGATAACTCGTACTTCGAGTATTATTTGTTTGCAAATATACTACGCACCAATTACATAAGGCTATGGGGTGCATATCTGCCATAAAGACTGGATTAATTAATTTTATAACTTTGATATTTAATTACAAGATAATGTAAAAAGAAGACAATGGACAATTTAGTGAATATAATAAATTAATAAATTTGAAGGTAATGAATCTTTGAATTGTAGAAAATAAAGACAATATAACTAATGAAATTACATCTCTTTTTAAATCTTTTATAATGAATTTTTTTTTTTAAATAAAGGCATTATAGACATCCAATTCTAAATTAATTAAATGCATATGTATTATTTTTTGTTGTAGCTACTACTTTATTTAATTTAATAAGAGTAATAAAGTGGTGTACATACTTTTCATCAACAATGATGAAATCATTGATTTTTTTTTTTTTAATTTACATTCGTTGTTGAGAAAAATTGTTTTGAGAGTTTGTCATGACAATTATTGTTACAATTCCTATCAATAGAGGATAATAATAAATAATTCAAAATATATAGTTACAATAGATATTGTTATAATGATATAGTAAAAATTAACTTACAAATTTCTTTATAAGTTTTCATGCATTGATAAAATTCAGATTTCTAAATTTGTTCAATTAGAGCCAATGGGATGTCAACATTGTCAATTCGTTAGAAAATGATCCTACTGTTTTAGAGTTCAGGTGTAATTGTATTTATGATAAGCAACTTTGTAGTTAGGTCGCGCAGGCTTGACAATGATATAAGAATAATTTTGCCCGATAAAAAAAATAATAGTATAATATTTGTAAAGTAATTTATAATTATACCATTATAAATATACACAGTGTTGCAAAAATCGGACCTAGGCGCCGATTAATCGGCGCCTAAGCGCTAGGCGGTCAGCCACCTAGGCGCCCTAGGCGCTCTTGGCGCCGATTAATCGCTCAAGGCGCCCTAGGCGGTCCCCAGGCGCCTAGCGATTTTTTCAACCATGAATATACATACAAAAAATATTAATATCATAACGACCTAAATAATACCAATAATGCAAAAGTATAATTGAAATAAGTTTTGTTCTGATCTAAATAATCAAAAGAAGATTAATTAAACGAAAAAAAAAACTTAACCTAAATTTATTTATTTTTAAATGCATAAAAATCAAATGATTTTTAAAGTTCTTGATTTATAATCTTTGATGCTTAACTATGAATGTTATGTATTTAGCCGGACTAATTATTTGAACAAAGTTTATGTTAAATTTTATATTATATTATATATATATATATATATATATATATATTTATTTATTTATTTATATATTTTAAATATATTTTAATATATTCGTAATATATGTTTAATAATTATGCGAACTCTAATTGGGGTGATGTTCATCTGCGGGATGATTGGACATGGGGATAGGGTTTGCCCCAGAATCGCCCAGGGCTTTAATGTCCAGGCCGGAAAACCATATGGTTCATGGCTCAGGGCAGGGAATCGCCTAATGGCCCCAACTGCGGGAATACGGTGGATTGCACCAGAACTAGACGCTGAGCGAAAGGAGTGGGTGGCCCCTAGGATGGTAGTAGAAGACAGTACATCGGCGGGGGTAGCACTGATTCTCTACTTGTGACCAATGACTCAAAGAGGAAGTGAGTAGAGACAGATATTGCTGGTAGGGAGGCAGGGATGGAATGTGACAGTGGTTTGCAAAGAAACGGGGAGACGACGGGACTTGCAGCGCAAGCCCGCCAAGAATTATGAGCCTGTTGACGTGGAATTGTCGGGGACTTGGCAACCCGACGGCAGTTTGAGTTCTAGCGGATCTGATCTATGCGAAGAGGCCAAAAGTAGTCTTTTTAATTGAAACTTTTGTTGACAGTAACAGAATGGAAAATATCAGAGTGCAGTTGGGTTTTGAGAATGTTTTTAGAGTAGATGCGGTGGGGCACTGGGGTGGTTTGGCATTATTGTGGTATAATATTGTGGCTTTGCAGGTTACAGCTTACATTGATAATTTCATTGACACTACACTAAATCTTGATGTAGGGAGCCCACAGTGGCGATTTACAGGATACTATGGGTACCTAGAGAGGTCACGGAGGAGAGAGGTTTAGCAACTGCTACGGAATGTGGCGACACAGAATACGTTGCCATGGGTAGTAATGGGAGACTACAACGATCTCTTGCACCAGTATGAAAAACGGGGACGGGCACCACATTCCCCTTGGTGCATAAATGGTTTTTCTGAGGCAGTGGCCGACTGTGGGCTTCAGGATTTACCGTTTAATGGGTATCAGTATACTTGGAACCTGGGCCGTGGCACAAATAATTTGGTTGAGGAAAAGCTTGATCGAATCATGGTTAGTGAAACTTGGCTGAATTTGTTCGAGGGTGTTACAGCTACCTCACTGGTATGTCCATACAGTGACCATATGTCGTTGCTACCAGTGCCCGCGTCAACAGTAAGTGTGCTGCGACGGAAACGCTTCCTTTTTGATAATATGTGGCTAAGGGAAGAGAGGTGTCGTGAAATCGTGGCACAAAGCTGGAATCGAACGGTGGGCCAGGATGATTTGTCACAAATTGATTGTTGTGGCCATGACATCTGGCGATGAGGGAAGAATTATAATATGGATTTTCAACGGAGGATTGACAAGTGCAAGAGTAAGCTGGAGTTATTACGAACCCGTAATGATGTTGACAGTATGGTAGACTATGGGAACACAGAACAGGAATGGTTAGTCTTGCTTGAACAACAACATACAGCGGGCCAAAGAACACTGGTATAAGGGGGAGATTGCAATAGTAAATTCTTCAATAACTCGGTGAAAACAAAGAGAAGAAAAATAAAATCCACAGACTCAAAGATGCTGGTGGGAATTGGATAGACCAGGAGGAGGAAATTGGAGCGGTCATGCATGATTATTTTCAGAATTTGTTTCAGGCAGACCAGGGAGACATGAATGAGATCCTTGACAATGTTGGTGTGAGGATCACGACCGGGGACAATGTAAAGTTGTTGCGCACAGTAAGTTTGGAAGAAGTTCGTGCTGCTGTATTCCAGATGCATCCCGATAAATCACCGGGGCCGGATGGGTTAGGGCCGGGCTTCTTTCAGCACTATTGGGATATTATGGGGGAGGCGGTAACTAGCTTTTGCAAGGGCTTTATTGAGACGACTAAGCTCCCAGGTACCGCAAATGACACCTATATTGTCTTGATTCCTAAAAAAGCGGTTCCGGAGTCTATGAAGGATCTGAGGCTTATAGCGTTGTGCAACGGTGGTCTATAAATTTGTCGCTAAAGTATGTGCAAACAAGTTAAAATCACTACTAGATGGGATTATATCACAGGCTCAGAGTGCTTTTGTACCTGGGCGCCTGATAACCGATAATATAATGCTGGCCTACGAGGCCCATCACTATTTGTGCAGGAAGACACAGGGAAGGAATGGTCGCGCTAAAGGTTGACATGAGTAAAGCCTATGACCGGGTACAGTGGGGCTTTCTGGAGGCGATAATGGGTAAGATGGGTTTTGCGAGGCAGTGGATAGAAGTGATTATGAAAACAGTCCAATCGGTGAAGTACCATATTTTATATGAACAACGTCGGCTTGGTCTAATCATCCCGGGATGTGGGTTGCGGCAAGGTGATCCCCTTTCGCCATATCTTTTTCCTTTAATTGCAGAAGGGCTGAGTGTTCTAATAGAGAGGTACATGACTATGGGAAGGTTACATGGGGTCCGTGTAGCTCGAGGTGCGCCACCCATATCACATTTGTTATTTGCAGACGACTGTTTTCTGTTCCTGCGTGCCAATGCCCAAGAAACCCAGGCGATGAAGGATGTTCTAGACGTCTACTCCCATGCTTCGGGCCAGAGGATAAATTATGACAAGTCCATGGTGTGCTTCAGTGTGAATGTCAACCAGCCAACACGGGATGCTGTAACCGGTCTGTTGGGGGTGACCAAGGGGGATACTGCAGGGAAATACTTGGGCCTGCCATCATTGGTCGGGAGAAGGAAGACGCAGATTCTAGGATTCTTGAAAGAAAGAATCCTAGCGAGGGTAAGGAGTTGGAATGAAAAGTTCCTATCTAGGGCTGGATGCGAGGTACTATTAAAGAATGTTGTTCAAGCAATGTCGGCCTTCGCGATGATGGTATTCTTATTACCTGTAGGCTTATGCAGGAATATTGAGACACTAATGAATGAGTACTGGTGGACTAGCAGAATTGGAAATGGCAAAGGGATACGGTGGCGGTCCTGGTCCTATCTATCGACCCCGAAGACTGCAGGGGGGATGGGGTTCCAGACCTTGTGAGAGATGAATATGGCATTGCTTGGTAAACAAGCGTGGAGGTTAATTACCAAGCCTGACTCACTAGTGGCAAGGATTTACACTGTACGATACTATCCTAACTGTGCTTTCTTTGATGCAGTTGCCGGCAGTAACCCCTCCTTCATTTGGCGGGGGATGCTAGGGGTCCAGCAAGTAATGCGGGACGGCTGTAGGCGCAGTATAGGAAGTGGTGATGATACAATAATAGGAAGGCATACATGGTTGCCGGTGCCAGATGAGCCGTTCATCACAACTCCGGTAGCAATGGCAGTTTTCGAGGCCCCGGTGGCCTCTCTTTTTAATCGTCGAGGTACTGGATGGGATATAGCCCGAGTTAGAAGCATTTTTAATTCCCGTGACGCTGATCTGATTTTGAATATCCTGATTTCCCGCAGGAGGCCACGTGACGCGTGGTACTAGTTTTGGGATCAAAAAGGCAAATACACAGTCAAGTCCTGTTATAACCACTTGAAGGGTAACATACATGACAACCGGCCATGGTCCTGACTGTGGAATCTGGCTGTGCCACCGAAGGTTAGGCTATTTGCTTGGCAGTTGGTGTCTTCTTTTTTTGCCAACAAGGGACGCTCTTCAAGCTAAAAATATTCTTTGTACTCAAGATTGTCATATGTGTAGGGCTGAGTCAGAGAGCGCCTTCCATTTATTCGCGCAGTGTACAGAAGCTGCAAGAGTGTGGAATCTGTTGGGCTTACCCGCGAAAACTGCAAATTCGGGTAATGTAATTGACTGGTTTTGGGATCATCTTAATCTGTTGACAGGGGAAAATAGGGCCAAATATGTTATGGCCTGCTAGTCTCTAGCAGAGTCATAATGAAGGAGTGGCATGGGGGGCAGTTTGATTTACATGCAATGTTGCGCCGGACACTAGGCTTTTGGCACAATTGGTGTCTTGCTAATGAAACTAAGCTTGCAGGTAACGGTGTGGCAACATGTGAGCATTGGGTACGTCCGGACAATGGCTGAATAAAATTGAATGTTGATGCTTCGGTAGACATAGCCAATAACGCAATGGGGTTAGGATGGGTGCTCCGGAATCATGTTGGATCGTTCTTGGTAGCAAAAAATTTGCGCTGGGCCGGCGTTTATATAGTAAATGAGGCTGAGGCAATTGGTCTGAGGGAGGCCCTAAGTTCGTTGAAAGACCCAGAAATGGGTGCAGTTGATGTGGAGATGGACTCACAGACGGTTTTTCATGCTATCACTCATCCATCTTTTTATTCGTCTTTTGGTCTTTTAAGTTTTAATAGATGATGTTGAAGAATTGGCGTCTTTGATTCATGATGTGCAATTCCTTTTTGTGAATCGATCTGCGAACGGTGTCGCCCATGCTCTTGCAAGGGAGGCCTGTTCAATGTCAGGTTGTGGGGAATGGTTTGATACACCACCTGCTCTACTTGTGAACTGTCTTATTCGAGATTTAATGCATTAAGTTTTTCTGGCAAAAAAAAAAAAATATATAATATAGGGTAAATAAGGAAAATCATTTATAAAATACTAAAATCAAAATAATATGAACTATTCATTTTAAGAAACAATACTACCTGACATTTTTTTTGTTCCAGTTAAGAGCCTAAGGCTCTTATTAGAATTGTAGATGTAGATATAAATAATTAAAATAACTTCTTACGTACCTCACATAAGACATAGTTCATCAAACATTAGACATTGCATAATACATAACAATAATTATAAAGTTCATTGTCTTAAAATTTTAGAAGATTAAACTAGGGTTAGGTTATTCCTTATTACTTATTAGGTTATAGTTAGATTTTATAAAATATTATTTATATAAAAGAAACTGGAACTGACAGAAAATTCAGAAGTTTTTTACCTATATTGTGAAATTTTCTGGGAGTATTTGGTAACGAATTTTGATACAATTTTTCTAGATATGAAATTCAGCAAGTCTAGAACATACACACAAATTTTCATATCAATCCAAGGCATAGAAGTAATTTTCTCAAGATTTCTTTACATTGCGTCAGCCAGAAGTTTTCTGGACAGCACACTGCCAAGAACTTAACGCAATTTTATGTTATTAATGGAACATGTTTCCAACCCAAACTTTTTATGGATATCAAGATATATATGTGTAGGTTCTCCTAAAAAATTTCAAGAAAAAATGAGTTCAGGAAGTATATTTTGCAAATTTATTTTTTCGACTGTGCCAGACAAAATTTTTTCAGACAGTAAAATATTATATATATATATATATATATATATTATTTTTATTAAATGTGGCGGGCAGCTTGCGGCCCGCCAAGCCCGCGACCTAAGCGGGGTGGGCCAAAAAATCCCGCTCCTTGGTGGGCTGCGATTTTCGAATCCCACCCCTACCTAAGTAGGGGGCGGGACGGCCCGGCCCAAACGGGCAATAATGAGTAAGGGTGGAAATAGGTCGGGCTGAGCTACGCTTTTGAAAATTAGGTATGGGCCTGTTATAAGAATTTAAGGCCTGAGCCTGTATATAGACCTTTTAGGTTCAAGCCTGAGCCTACCATTAACTTAGCCTGGGCTGAAGCCTGTTTAAAGGCCTGAAAAAAAATATATCTATCACAGTAATTTGAATATCTACTTTGGCTTAGGTACTTCAAAGCCTAACATGATAATTAATCATCTTTAAGCAAATACAGATTTCACTCTTGAATTAGTTTTATTAGCTTCTTTATTGACTATGTTTCCAACCTGGAATTAGAAAGGAATTAAAGGATCTTGCATATTAAAATATAAATACACTTTGAAGACTGTCGAGTGTCTACATGTACATAACTAAATAAATCACTTAAGAGCACTCAATATATAGTCTCATGAACTTTTAAATAGAAGAATTCACGAAAAGCTATTTTGTTTACTTGTGATAATGGAAATATTGAATAGCCAAATAGCGGAAAATGAAATAATTTTGGGGGTTAGGATTTTCTAATTCACATATATACTTAGGTTATATATATATATATATATATATATATATATATATATATATATATATATATATATATATCTCATGAACTTTTAAATAGAAGAATTCACGAAAAACTATTTTGTTTACTTGTGATAATGGAAATATTGAATAGCCAAATAGCGGAATATGAAATAATTTTGGGTTGTTAGGATTTTCTAATTCACATATATACTTAGGTTATATATATATATATATATATATATATATATATATATATATATATATATATATATAAAAGACTGTGCCTATTTAATAAATAAGCTTTAAAACGGGCTTAAGCCTAGCCTACTTATTAAATAGGTCAGGCCTAACTAGGACTAAAATGGGCCAGGTCGTAAGCCCCTATAAAGGGACCCGGCCTATTTCCACCCCTACAAATGAGAACCACCTCCAAAACTAGAAACCACTCAGAATGGTTTATCTAAAAAAATTTAGCAAACAACATTATAAGATTCTAGTAACTAATACTACATATTGTATTAGCACATAGATCTAGAAAACTAAATTCAAAGTTAAATTATAAAATATTAAACTCTTACATGGTAAAAAGTGAATCCTTAAACCAATTTTTTAAATAAATATAAATTTTAAAAGGTGAACGCTAAGGAAGATAACACGCACGCACGCATATATATATATATATATATATATATATATATATATATATATATATATATATATATATATATATATATATATATATATATATATATATATATATATATATATATATAGAGTAAATACCGGCGGAGGTCCTCCGACTTTGGTGGCATTGTCACTTTTAGTCCTCAACTTTTAAATCAACCACTTTTAGTCCTCTTACTTTTTGTTTCTAGCCATCTATGGTCCTTTCGTTAAACTTGACCATCTAATGCCGTTTTCTAAAAGATAATTCAGTTCTTTCATAATTAATTTATTAATTATTATGTTTAATTTCATCATCAGAATAGTCAAACAATGGTTTCCCAACTATGAACGTGTACAAAACCAGCTCGTGAATCAAAATGGCGTACAAAAATTGGTACGAAGGTTGTGCCAAAACGACGTCGGGATATCTCGGTATGACTCGACAAACATAATAATTAATTTATTAATTATGAAAGGACTGAATTATCCTTAAGAAAACGACATTGGATGGTCAAGTTTAACGGAAGGACCATAGATGGCTAGAAACAAAAAGTAAGAGGACTAAGAGTGGTTGATTTAAAGGTTGAGGACTAAAAGTGGCAGTGTCACCAAAGTCAGAGGACCTCCGCTGGTATTTACTCTATATATATATATATATATATATATATATATATATATATATATATATATATATATATATATATATATAGAGAGAGAGAGAGAGAGAGAGAGAGAGAGAGAGAGTCGCGTTCTGGTGCGAATGTCGCGCCCAGGAGCGAAATGCGAATAATTCCGCGCGCGCCACGTGTCCACATCTAGGTGCACCTATAGTTATAACTAGGGGCACCTAGGTGAAAGTAAGTGCATCCGATCTTACATGCACTTGTAGGTGAAAGTAGGTGCGTGCACTTGTCGGTGAAAATAGAGGCAAAATTACATGCACTTGTAGGTGAAAGTAGGTGTACTTGTAGGTAAAAGTAGGTGCACCCGATCAATGAATGTTAACAAGAAAAAAACAACGCAAGAATCATCGTCGGGTTAAACATTGGCCGAATTGACCACATCACATTCAAAGCCTAGGTCAGATAATATGCAAAATAGTGTAATATCATTTTCTTCACATGTAAAGGGAAAGAGGAGGGATATGGTAGACCAGGTGAGTAAGTTAAACGAGAATGCTCTTTAAAATTAAAAGATAGTGAGTGATGCTGCCATTGTGGTCCATATAAGACAGAAAGTGTGTTAAAATATTAAATTTTAAAAATAACAAAGAGATGAGGGCTTGTAGATTTTGAGGGAGTTGACAAACATGTTCAACTTATGCAACCATATAGAATGGAGAGAAAAATGGATTATAAGTTGGTCCTTACTTACTGGTGTGGTAACTGCATAAGTCATTTCTTCGTTTCCAACTGGAGGCGAAGAAATTTCTTTGTCTCTAGCCAGAGATGAAAACGGGAAGGAGGTTTTTTTTTTTTTTTTTTTTTTTTTTTTTAATAAGTCTTATTTTATTTAAAATTGTGTTTTTCCCAGGATTGATAAAAATCGAGAAGGTGAGGGTTAAATAGATTTTTTAATATTTGAACTTAAATTCTTTTTTAAATCAAAGCTTACCACCAGCTCGTCGAAAGTAAGTGATAGGCAGCAGAAGGCTCAGAAAATATTTGGAGAGAAAAATTGTGTTACCATGTGTGTTTGACTACTTGTTCGATCGGGTGGAATATTAAATGTAGTAAAGTAAAAGTATAGAGAGAGAGAGTATTAGTGTTTAAATATTGTAAACCCCAACATGTACTTGACAATAAATAGACACTGAGTGAAGATCTGGTGAAATAGACACTGAGTGAAGATCTGGCGGGATA